TATATGTCTTCTGGGAACAACAGGAAGTATAGTTTCTTGGAAAAGATCATCAGTCAGTCCAAGAAAAACATTAATTTTTTCTTTCGAGGTAATAATCTATTTATTATTCCATGTGGTTTTAACTATATGTCTTCTTGGAACAACAGGAAGTATAGTTTCTTGGAAAAGATCATCAGTCAGTCCAAGAAAAACATTAATTTTTTCTTTCGAGGTAATAATCTAGTTATTATTCCATGTGGTTTTAACTATATGTCTTCTGGGAACAACCGGAAGTATAGTTTCTTGGAAAAGATCATCGGTTCCAAGAAAAAACATTTATTTTTTTCCTCGCGAGAGATCATTCTCAGAAACGAAAATGACTCTTGTTTGATTTATGAGTTTCACTAAGAATAGTACGATTTATAATTCGAAAAGTTTGTAACAAGAAATTAGTTTTAACACTGTAAGCAATTATTATAAGCAATTATGTCGTAAGAAACTAGAAAAAGCTCTACAGACCACGACTATTACTTTCTATAACCGTTAAATGATAAAACACTTCTTAGTTCTTTCGATTTACTGGTTTATTGTTAATGAATTATCGATGTTTTTCAAGTTGAAATGGAGTGATAAGATTACTTGATGTGGTTAAATAAAACATGACTTTCTGGGTCTGTAACAATGTCAAATTCAAATTCCACGAATTTTGAAATAGTACTTTCTATAGTACTAAGGTGGAACCAAACTAATTCAGAGCGAATTTTGGACAATTTTGTTCTCGCTCCCTTCGCAAAACGAATGCGTCAATTTAACTGTATTTTTCATATAATGTGCTTGGATTATCCTAGATTCTAACAGTGTATTTTATTTTAAGATTTTTTCAATGTTTAGCCTATTACAGCCGAATATCAAACAGTGCTATTTTTAGTTTTTGGCTTTTTTCTCCTCATCCCCAGGTATGATTTTTCTGAAATTTTTAGAATCTTATCACCTAGTACTATTACAGCCTGTGTATAAATTTGGATGGAAAGTCTTGGGCAGAACAAAAGTTATGACGCTGCTTGAAAATTCGATCCAAAATTTGAAGCATATGAAACATCGCGCTTTAGAAACATTACCATTGAATGGATTGCCTTGAAGTTTTCACATATCTATTTCTAAGTATTGCAGATGAGCCTGACGAAAAATCAGCATCAAATCTTAAAAACTCATTGAATAAATGTTTTTTTACTAATTGTCGTCGTCCAAATTTAAAAAACGTTTTCTCCAAAATTTGGATAGGAGGAGCTGTAGAAATTTCACTACCATCTAGATAAAGCTCTGGTCTATTGATGTAGGAAGTTTAAAGAAACTTGGAGCCGTTTTGAAGAAAAAGGCGAAAATGTGATTTTTAGCAAAACTCTAATATTTAGGTTTACAACGACAATTAGTAAAAAAACATTTATTCAATGAGTTTTTAAGATTTGATGCTGATTTTTCGTAAGGCTCATCCGCAATACTTGGAAATAGGTATGTGAAACCTTCAAGGCAATCCATTCAATGGTGGTGTTTCTAGAGCGCGATGTCTTATATGTTTCAAATTTTGGATCGAATTTTCGAGCGGCGTCATAACTTTTTTTCTGCCCAAGACTTTCCATCCAAATTTATACACAGGCTGCAATAGTATTAGATGATAAGATTCTGAAAACTTCAGAAAAATCGTACCTGGGGATGAGGAGAAAAAAGCCAAAAACTAAAAATAGCACTGTTTGATTTTCGGCCGTAATAGGCTAAACATTGAAAAAATCTTAAAATAAAATACACTGTTAGAATCTAGGATAATCCAAGCACATATATGAAAAATACAGTTAAATTGACGCATTCGTTTTGCGAAGTGAGCGAGAATAAAATTGTCCAAAATTCGCTCTGAATTAGTTTGGTTCCTGCTATTCCAAACAACGTACTATTCTTCATGAGGTCAGAAATTGACGGTGGGGGTAGGGGTCGGTATGTAAATGATGAGGAAGTCGGGTGAGTTTTTCCTTTTATGATTTAACAAATGCCTGCGTGCAAAGTAATTTGAAATAGTTCACCTGTAGCACCATGATTTGTTCAAACTTGTCGGCATCCCAATACTTCAGGGTCTTGTCCTTACTGACTGACATGAAGTAATGGGTGTTCGCGATAAACTGAAACAAAATGACACATGTAATATCAATATGATCACGTGACAGCAGCCATCTTGGAGGATAAGGAGAGCAGCCTTTTTAAAGAAAAAAAAAAAACTCAAGATAAAAATATTTGGACTGCTGAGAGTCCATAGGATTGGAATTTCAGAACTGGCATAAAATAAGAAAGAACTAAAATAGGGCTTTAAAATAATTTTAAAAAAATACTGTATTTACCTGAAGTCCCATAATGCTGAAAAAATAAGAAAAAAGCTTAGAATTAAAATCGGATACAAATATTTTCATTGACAAAACGTTTTGGAAAAGACATCTTGGATGGAGTTTACTTATCAGATAAATGCAATGGCTCCCATACGCACTCGATAACATTTAAATGACTTTCCATAATAAGGCTTTTTATAAGATGAAAATCGCCTCACAATAATGACTTTTCATAACAGTGAAATGGCTTCACGTAACTTAATTGGCTTTTACTAACATAGAAATGGCTTCTTATAAATTAATTGGCTTTCAATAACACTGAAATGGTTTCCCACAAGATTAAGCTTCGATAACGATTAAATGGCTTCCATAAGGACGGTTTCACTCAATGACATTGAAATGGCTTCCCATTTCTACAGCCAACACTACGGTACGCATTTCAATTTTTGTTTTGTTTTTGTTTTTGTTTTTTTTTGTTTGCAACTTTTGTTTTGTTTTGGTTTTTTTTTGTTTTTTTGTTTTGTTTTGTTTTGTTTTTGTTTTTTGTTTTGTTTTTTTGTGATATGCAAAAAACGTACCCATCATCATGAGCAAATATAGACTTGTGACAATCCCCAAAGTCCAGCCCCCATATCTTGATATTCTTGTCAGCAGATCCAGTGATGATCAATGTGCTATCCTGTTATCAGAAATTTGACGTCATTCCTCATTCCCCTAACAAAAACGTTCCGACTTCACTTACGTGGGTTCTGGATCGTCCTGCCCCTACCGACTCGTTTTGGGGCTGCCTTTGTCTCACTCACCTCTTGTTCAAGGCATCAAGGTGTCAAAAATTGTCTTACAATTACGTTACCCAGACCCTACTCGCTGATGACATCTGTTAGGTACTGGGACCCAAAACCCTCCTCATGATCTGACAGTGTTTACTCAGACCCTAAATCTGTTAGAAACTGGGACTAACATTTTTCTCAGTAAATGTTTCTACTGAGTTTTAATTTTTCAGTTGTGATAAAATACAAGTTAAAGAAACACCAATTTTAAACAATAACAGACTAACTTACTGAGGAAATATCCAAAGCCATGACAGGTAGCTTGTGACCGTAAAGAGACAGGAAAAACTACCAGAATAGAAAAAAATAAATTAACTCGTGTCATAATTGTTACTATCTTGTTCGTTTGCTGTGTTTAGTTAGTTTGTTAACGGTCGGTTGGTTCGGTAGGTAGGTTTGATGATTCGTTGGTTTACTGCTCGGTTTCTTTATTGATTGTTTGGATTCTATGAAGGTAAATCGATCGATAATTTGGACAGTCGGTCGGTAAATAACTTGATTGGTCGGTCAGTCAGTTGGAACATAAGTCCCTAGGTCAGTCGACCGGTCGGTGAATAACTTGATTGGTCGGTCAGTCAGTTGGAACATTAGTCCCTAGGTCAGTCGACCAGTCGGTGGATAACTTGATTGGTCGGTCAGTCAGTTGGAAGATTACTTCCTAGGTCAGTCGGTCGGTAAATCCCTATATTGGATGGTCGGAATTCATATCACCAACTTACTTTGAGAGAATCGGCAAAGAACACTTTAACTGTACAATCCAGCAGACTAACAGCTAATAACTTCTGGTTCGGGCTACAAATAAATGATGGTGATAATAATAATAATGATGATGATGATGATGATGATGATGATGATGATGATAATAACAATAATAATAATAATAATGGAATTAACCAGTCTATAGACTGGGCAGAGGTTCCCCGTGGAGCCCAAATCGTAAAACGAACAACAAATAAAACAAATAAACATTGGTAATCATCCGACAACGCGTAGTCATGGCTACGGTAAGATAAGCGATATTCTAGATAGGGTTACCAACCTGTATTTAACGCAAACGACTTCCTCTTTCAGTTTGAGGGTCTGTACATGGGCAATACCAAGACGTTTGCTGTTGGAACAAACGAAATAATAATTTCAAACAATTATTAAAGTGATAAAAAGATAAAAACATTTGATTGAAATATAGCAGCAGGTAGGGGGACTCGCGATCGATGCCAAAGATATACGGGTTTAACTCGCGGATTTACGAAGACGGG